ATTATAATGTAGGAAAACCTGTAGACCTACACATTTGTTTTACTACGTACAATAGAATGTCACATTATTGTTTTATTGTCTAATTTTGGTGCTGTATATTCAGTTGATCATGATGTTGATTTTCAGTGGAAAACTGAATGCCATATCAACGTATTGAAGCTTTTGGCAACAGTCGGACAGTAATGAACACAAATGCCACCGCTTCACCAGATATTCAGCCTTGATTTTGATCACTCTGGACAAATTGCATCAGCTTCAGTACAAGTAAGAATTCTTATCATTTATAAAGTCTTATGAAAGATCGACTTGTAGCCTGTTCAGTTACTTTACTTGCTCATGTCAACTCTTTTTCATATGACAAATCACATTTTCCAAATCACATCATAAAATTTAATGTTCATTGCTTTGTGTGTGATGGAGCTGTTTTCTTTGTGACTACATTCAGTCATATGTCACAAATTCATGATGATGACAGTACTGTACTGTATTGTTACACCATCAATACTTGAGGCTCTTAATTCATAGGCTTTGATATTTATCATTTATTTTATAATATTTTTATTCTCTTAATTCAATTATTGTAGCAGATTACATACAAGATTCATTTTCAATAAAATTCTGAAATTTATGAGTACTGTGACTATAATTCTTCCAGGTGTACATGCCAAAAAAACTCGAGTGGTTCGCGACCTGAAGGGGAACCAAACTATCATATATTCTATCAACTCCTCTCTGGTGCAGACAATGACCTCCAGGATCACTGGGCCTTGACAACCTGTCTGAGCCAAACCTCTTATGACACCACTACAAAGGGTAAGGGTACTGGACCTTAATACAGAAATAAGTTATACCGTATACATGTACATTGTCCAGGTGTTATTAAAAACTACTGTTGTCCCATTATTACTTAGCCAAGGGCATGAATAGATATGAGCAGGCCTTAAATAATTATCACCATGTGTATTTGCTCACTTGTTCTGTCGAAAAGTGTATTACAGTACTTGTATAACTAGCCTGGTCCTCAGAACGCTTGACATCATGATGTAGTTTGTTGTAAATCCCTGTGTGATTTGTTCAGTACTGTTCTCTACTGACTGTTAATTTCACAGCTCGCTCTGTATAATACAGTTGAATAATCATATTTGCATCTTTGGCTCTGGGTGGTGTGGTTATTTAGTCTAAATTCTAATACTGTATCACCTAAAAGTCCAGTTTCCACTTTAGCTTTGTGAAGTCTAGTAACTAGGTTTAATGACTAGAATAAACTTAAGATTTAGTAACTTTTAGTGTGAATTATAAGTGCAGTGAATCATTGCAAGCTTGCAACTGTAAAATTAAAAATGTCAAGCATGCAGCCTTGGCAAGAAATCCGTAACTTCCCTTGTTTATACCTTATTTTGTTGACATTGATGCAAATATGTAACCTTGGTACACATGGACACAGTATACCTCTACAATACAGTATTTGTTATGTTGTCTTCATAAGCTACTCTAACAACTAACCTAACATGAATATTATAATTTTACCACAGAGTGAAGATCGACAAAAGGCTGGCATAGCTTGGGCGAGAATCGGGCTGCTCTTGGCGTACTGGGAGTATCACCTGATGAACAGAATACTATTTGAGTGTCCTGCAGCAATATATCATCTTGAACTGCAGGAGCTGTTAGAAGTAAGAGATAAGATTTATGCTTTATATGATTTTTATTTTTATGTAGATAATTAAAGTTAATTTTTTGGAGTTAATGCATAATAAATGTGGTGATGTAAAATGGATTAACATTTGTTAAGTGTATTTTTCTAACTACTGTAGGCTATTTCATACCTGATGAGGTTCATGGTTGAATAATAATAGATCAATGGGTATTTATGTATCACATGAGTACTGAATAGTTACTGTTACAATAAGATGGTTATGGGCATCTGTTTGGGAGGGGCAATGGGTCTTGTGGATTATTCTTGTGTCATGCTTATGTACAGGAAAGATCTCCAAGTTCAAACCCAGTTGTGTAAATATTGATATATGATGCACTTGACAAATGCAGCTTACAGTATAGGCTATTATACTTTGATGTAGTCTGTGTACACTTGGGATAAGTTTTAAACATGAAAATTTTTATTGTTCATGGATGGTGTTAATCTGTATGATTGAACATTTATGTTGTTCATGGTGCTAATCTGTATGCTTGTGTTTATTGTATGCAGTAAGAGATATTGCCATGTAATTGTTTCATGGAACTTCTTCTTAATAAATTCATATAAACTTGATGTATCAAGCTCATTTTACAGTATAGTAGTAAGTTTTGCTATAAACTTATAAAATAATAATATTAAGCCTACCAAACTTGAATGTTGGAGCAAGCATGGTACCCCTTTGCTGAGTGTAGGACAAAAATCCTCAAATAAATCCCTCCGAGGACAAAATACCTCTAGGATAAAAACCTGACCTAACTTTAAGAAACTTTAATTAAAAAAAGGGGTGATTTTGCTCTACTATGCACTTTAACTGATGGTTTTTCTTAGGGGCTCTTGTTCCTTGCTCTGTGTCTCGAGAGAATGTAAATTCACTTTTCTGAAATATTTATCGACATGAAAGGTTCCTAATATGGATTAGGTTTGTCATCCTTCTTGAATGCTTTCTAGAGAATCCTTACTATGCTAAACAGGGTTATAAAATATCACTGCTGTTTCTGTTATTGATGCTCTAGTATATAAACCCTAGTACAGTAGTTGTACCCTGTTAGTCTATTACATACACCAACACATTTTTGTCTAGATATTAGGTCCCTACTTACCATAACAGCATCCGGAAAATCTTTATCACAAGTTAATTTCTTATTTCTTCCGTATTCACGTGATAGCTGGTTACCCTGTTTCCATTTCCTAGCCTTAGAACTTTACATTTCTTCATATTAAATTGTAATCTGCCTTATTTTGGTTCAAGTAAAAGCTTGTTTTGGTCTTTCTATATATACTTTGAGTTTTCAAAAAGAATAATTACTGGTATATGCTCTATTTTTGTGAAAGCCAGGTTTTTGGGCAGGACACCAGAATTGTGTGTGTGTGTGTGTATATATATATAATATATATATATATATATATATATATATATATATATATATATATATATATATATATATATATATATATATATATATATATTATCATATATATATATAATGATTTAATATATATATATATATATATATATATATATATATATATATATATATATATATATATATATATATATATATATATATATATATATATATATATACCAGTATATCATTGCAATACTGTGTACACCCTTTCACTGAGTCTAGATTTAATTACAGGGTACAGTACTCATTTTTATTTTTTTATGACTTGCAGCTGCCACTGGTAACAAGTTCCAGTTCAGTAAGCCAGGCAGTGCCCAGCGTGCTCAACCCTCCTTGGAACATCAGTTGAAGAATTGGCTCGTTCTATCTTTTATGCCACACCTACCACACCTTCTACTAGAGCCTCATTCAGGTTTGTTATCACCTTCATGTTTATTGCATCTTCAAATGTATGTACTGTATATGTTTACACATGTTGACTTTGAGTGAAAGTTTGTTTATGTGTGAGGTGTACTTGTATGCATGACTTTACAGTATAGGAGTTATCAATAGTACATGCCTTTGATTTTTTAACTATTTTCTCAATATGAGAGATGGTAATGTGATAGATATTGAATTTGCATCAGTAATTAAATTGCTTTGCTTTCTTATAGTAATGCCAACCAGAAGTTAAGTGAGTTATAGTTCATGACACAAAACAAAGAGCTGTGGAACTACTGAGTAACTGACAATACTGTAGTACAGTAATCTTGCTGTGACAAAGACTTGAGATGCTTTTGGGTTTTGCATATCAACCTCTTCTATATCTCTGTGTCCTTGATCCTGTTTAATTTTAAATGATCTGGTGAAGGTAATTTGATGTATTAAAAAAAAACACTCAAAATTGGTCTATTTGTTGTGGGAAATACCGAGCACAGAAACAGTAGTTGCTGTAGACAAGATGAGATTGGACTACCTGTATTTAATTTTTTATTAAATTATATTGGTCTCTGAAATTGAGAGTATACTGTACATTAAATGGAAGGCATTTTGTTTAGGTTGTTAATTAAATAATTTTAATATACAGATTTTACATGTACAGGTACTGTATACTGTATAAACATAGTTGATCAGTCAGTTAATTTTATTAAAGTGTGTTGTTCATTTGAGTGTAACTAAATACTGTATAAATGTTTAGGCCACTGAACAGAGGCTTCAGGCCACCATAAATGTAAATCTGGACTGTCTGTGTGCCAATGATAATTGTAATTTTAATACATGAGTACACTTAGCCCCAGTAGTGTTGTTGCCCTAAGTAACTATGGCCAGCAGGTCTGCAAACATTATACTGTAATGTACATTACAGTATCAAGAATACTCATTCTTTCCAGGCTTATGGTAGAACTGTACCTCATTTGACAAAACTAAACACATCATTTTCAGACTGTAGATACTTTGAGCTTTGACTGAGTTTTCCATCTTCTAAATTTTTTGTACAGTATAGGTTAGTCCAGTATATCTGTGGAAATTAATAGATGCTGAACAGATGTTGCAGTTTGATAATACAATATAAGTCCTTCAAACCTAAGTTACATACAGGCCTTGTGGGCTAATAATTTTACAAAGTGACACAGTACAGGTATTGAAAGGCACTGTGAATTAATATTAAACTTTTATTTACAACTGCCTCAGTAATGTATTTAGAAATCTTGAGGTTTATATAAAGATTTCAGATGTACAGTGCTGTACAGTATAAAGTTTCTCTTTAACAGTCAGCCTAGTACTAATATAAGACAGAAAATAATCTATTTATTACATTTAATACAGTATTTGCTGGTGCAACAGTGTATCCTGAGTCCAAGAAATAGACAATGAAATTTTAAAAATCTCAATGGTGAAGTTTGTGTAAGAGGAGAGGAGTGTAACCCAGATGATGCCACTTTGTTTGTCTGTGGTGTCCAATGTTAGGTCATTGCTTATCATATTAACTTAGATTCTGTTTGAGAAATTGTCTTTTGCTTTTGATACTTAGTTTTCTATTTGATTATACAGTAACTACTGTAGTGTACCTACATATTGCATAAGGCCATTGAAATTTTCAACCTTTTTCCTTGCATTTCATGTTATCTCATCTAATGTTGATGTCTTGAAGCAATACAGAACTGTAATGACAATTTACAGAGGTAGTCTTTTAAAATTAAACATCTATTGATGTTTAATTCTGCATTAAATTATATAGTGAGCAATTTGTTTGTAGTACAGTAACTCCATATTTATAAAGGTCAGTACAAATTTTTGTTTAAAAATAACCCTGTACAGTAGTTATTTTTGTTCATAGTTTATGGCACTTGTTATACCACAGTGGAAAATAAAAACTTCACTTTAAAAAATATATATACAGTAGTACAGTACTAATACATAGAATGGGCAAAGTTTCTGAACTTTCTCTGGTAATTGTACAGTATTACTTTATCACCAATTTTCTTACATGTTTCATTTTTTCAGTCACATGTGTAAGTCAGATACTGTAATTGTAATAGCAAATTCTGCTCTTACATGCTTTAATAGTTTCCCGTTATGTATTAGTTTAGATATACCTAGGATCACAGGAGTTGGTAGGCATTTCTCTGAAACTATTCACGTCTTCTCTCTTCAGTGGTCTCACGATACATTTGATGAGATTATTGACATGATTCAACATGCTGGTTATGGTGATAGGTACAGTGTTTGGATTCCCTGACATTCTGGCACCTTCCTTGACCTCTTTAGTCATGCCTCCTCATGTGAGAAAAGTTTCCAAGTCACCTCAGAAGCTTGTGTAACACTCATGGAAAAATCCTTAAAAATTGATGACTTAGGTTGCACTGTTTACATAATGAGATATAGACTATGATGTAGCAGTAGTCTCCCTGTGGCCGTCATTCACCATTCATTGAAGACTCACACTTTGTTAGCCTCTACCTAAAAAAAAATTCTTCACTTACCCACTGCTCTCACCAGTGAATAGTCTGTCATTTTATTGTTGTTTAGAACCACTTCTCTGAAAACTCAGTTTGGTGTTCAGTCATGCAGTGCGGTTATAATAGTTAATGATATTAGTTTGCATGGTAACACGTTACTTAGGACCTTGTGTGCTGTCCTTGTACTGTACTGTTTATTGCTAAAAATATGCCTCTCCAGTGTCTGATTGTGAGTCCTTAGAAACATAACCATAATGATTTACATATTATGCACCCATCAACATTTGGCTGAATTCTCACAGCTGTCTCAATACCTTTGTTATGCAGTTACATCATTTACTAATCTGTAGAAGTTCACATTTCCAAAAAAAATAAAGTTTTTGGGCTATATTTTCAATTGATGTGTATTATCTGTCAAAACGGGAAGTAAAGAATTATTAAGCAGTAATTTTATTACAGTACTGCGTTAGATTTAACATACATATTTTAAGAAGACAATTTTTTAAGTCCTTAAAGTAGATGTTACACCAGTTCACATATTTCTTTCAATTGAACAATAACTTATTGATACTTTCATTGTGAATGGCATTATTTATGAAGTGAATTTCACATTTTGTCTTTCTCACAGTATCAGAACTTCAAACCTAAAACTGACAACTGTAGTTTGTTTTGTAAAGGGCAAAGTAACAATGACTTTTATTTTTTCCAACAGAACTGCATCACCAACAGAGGCCCACTGAGGCGTCCTGAAGGTCTGGAGGCTCTAGAGGGCATGGCAACTGGTCTATATAGTGAAGCATTCAATGCCATTGTGGCTCTCATCAATAGGTTAGTTGATACTGTACAGTACTTTTAATTTAGTGTACAGTACTGTATTGTCCTTCTTATTTTGATTTAATCAGTAGTGGAAAGAGGTTATAGGAACTGAAAACACTCTCTGGAATGGGGAAAAGGAATGGCCATGTTTACCAAATATGTATTTAAAGACCCAGATTTTAGTGATATGAAATTTGAATTGGATTAAAAATAAACCACATTGAATATATAAAGACCTAGTAAATTACTTCCTTTTCATTAATAATAATTATGGCACAGGAGCTAAGTACAAGACATTAACCACCAGTTCCCTTGACTATAACTCTCACAATAATAAACCTTTGACTTTGTGTCTTAATACTGTACATCAGATTTATATTCCCTACTACACAGTCAGGTGGGTCTTACAGAAATTATTTTCAGTTTTGTAGATCAACACAAGTTTTTTTTTCCCTTATTGTAACCAACTTATTACATTTGCATACAGTACTCCTTACTGTTTTAATACCCTGTACTGTATTAATTTGTCCTATACGTCAGCCCTGCTCTCTCCTCTCTATCTTTCACTTCCCAACCTCTTTCTCTTCCACAACCATCTTGTTTCTCATTACGTTTATTCTTACAGACTTCTCACATTCTCTCTCTAACCATTAATGGAATAATAAATATTTCATGAAAAGGTCTTAGTTTAGGTACATTACATTATTTCTTGCAAACGTCTTCAGAAATCTCATCAAATAGTATACTGTACCTCTACTTAGTTTAACTGAATAATTATTTCCTTGACATCAGTTAGAACAATTTCTTATAAACCTCATTGATTTTGCATCATGGATAAGTAAACAACTTCATGTCAATTAAGGTTTCAAGTAACTTCAAAAGTATAGACATTTTTAAACTAACCCAAAAACAGTATATTGTTAGAATGATGAAACACGCAGTTCCATTGTTAAAGGTCCTGTTACAGTACAGTTCTATCCTCCCTTTGCATCTTCATTGATCTTTAACGGTAACAGTTGCACTAGTCTTGAAATCTGCTGCCACCTCATGGTTACCGTCATGATATAAAGAGCTAAAAAGATATCAGAACCGAATCCCCAACCCGAACTCCAATACCAGAATTGAAATTTCCGACAAATCCCCAAAGCCAGAATTTTCCAGAAAATTCCTACCATTTAATGATTTTCCAGGACACATGTTCGAAAATTCTGAGAACATTTTCCTAACTACCCTAAAAATCCCGGGATGGGATATTTTTCTGGGTCCGAGAGATGATGTAATGGGCAATTTCTGGAACTTGTGAACATTTTTCCATTACCCGTAAAATTCGGGACAGATTTTTTTCCAGCTTAGAGAGTCAAGCCATCTATAAATCTCTTACCCCCGAAGTGCTCTGTATCAACTGTTCAGCTAATGGAGATATCACTGTACTGCACTGTAAAATGATACAAAATATACATGCTGACAGACTGAAATCTCTGTGCAATTTCAGGTGTATATCAACGTCAGCTCACACTTCCAACTCCATACTGGTGGTTGATGCACCAGGCCTGCAAAATCCAGCTTCATGGGAGGACCTCAGGTGCTCATTTTCTCCAAGATCTCACAACTACACTCAAGAGCGCTTCCAGATGCTTTTCCATGACACCACTTTTACTGCTCCAGACTGATAGATATGCCCAGGTGGGCTTGTGTGGCACTCTGCTTCTAGTGATCATTATTATGCTAAGATTATTTTTTTTTAATATAACAGAATTATGCTGTTTTGGAGGAGGAAAAGAGTGTTCATGTGATGGGATACATGTAACTTTGTGTTATATGATAATGTTTATATGTATAAGTCTGCCTTCTTTTCTATGCGTAAATTTATACATCACAATTGTTAGAAGGCATTGAAAAATTCTCATCCAAGTTTTCGCTTCAGGAAAAACATTGAGTATGAGATGCTGCTGATGAAATTGGTACTGCACCTCTGATTGCCCCTCATAGACAAAGCCACCAACTGTGTTGTTAGGACATCTCAAATAGACTTCATAGAATCTGATCGAATTTGAGACTGCTATGGCTTTTGATGAGGAGGCAATCTTCCCTGGTACCATCAATCATTCCTGGAGAGACTATATGCTCATTATGGAGATAGAGGTATGTCTATGGTTGTATTAAAGTATATTGCCCTTAATGTTTACCTATGGAAGTCATTTATAAGACAAATGAACCCAGGAGTATTTCTCCATAAACCCTCCCAAATAAGTCAACTCAGTATGTGATTGTTTCTTCCTTTCACGAGGTTAATGTTTCACTTATGTGGGAGGAGGAGAGAAAGAGATAGGTAAAATATATGTAGTAAAAATTAATCTACATTTCTAATTAAAACTGAAAAATCAAACAATCCTGGCTCCCCTGTTTGTGCATGGCTGTAGTTATTGTAATACCATAGCTAACATATAAAAACCATGGTATTTTGTATACTGTAATTGAATCTAAGGCACATTTAAACAGGGTCTTTTCCTATTACCTAAACAGACAACACTAATTCATGAATCCATTTTTTCTAAATTTCCTCTTCCCTACATAAAGGGCAAAAGGTATAATCCTCATAACACGCTCTTAATGATCTCACTTGTTGCACTTGTTCATTTTTAAGTAATTAATTCTCACAGTTCTTAGACCCTTCTGTTACTTAAATGTTTGTAATATGTTAAAAAAATTCCCCTGCTACAATTATATAATACTGTTATGGCTCTCCAACCTTTTAAATTCTTAAAATTATTATATAACTTTAAACTTTCACAGGATTGTTGCTAGAGGCATTCTCTTATGATCTTTTGATACTATATTGAACAGAAGATTTCATCCATCATTGAAGAAATAGTAATTATTTCACTATGTATCTACTGTATATCCATTTTCAACAGGACGTCACACTAAGAGTTTCTTTGTTAGCACAGTATTCCATCACACCATTTCCACTCCCACCCCCTGCACTCTACCACACACCCACAGTACAGTAATAACTCTTTCTTCATTCTCACCTCGGACTCAATATCCTTCTACCTTTACTCCAAAAACAGGGGTGTGTACCATTAGTTTTTTGCTATTTTATGTTTATCCTCTTTCTTATTCATCATATTAAACAACTGTTGCTATGTTCCAGATCTTTAAGTTTCTTGGTCTTCTTTTTTTTTTTCTCTTTGCCATCAGCTACCTATAGCACTTGTTAATTTGTGTCTGCTTTATATACACAACTTGTTCTTTAAATGATAAAGCAAATAGTAAGAAATCTATCTAATTTGATATAATAATTCTGTATTTTTTTTTTTTTTAGATTTTGCATTAAGTCTATAAAACCAGTAATAGAACTTGTTTTAGTGACTCAGTTTGTCTGTACAATATTCCTTTTATATGAGTGTTCTCTACATAATTTTGAGAATATGGTTTATTGAAAGTAGATAATACATTAAATAGCTTGCAATTAATAAAATCAGCCAACATTTTAGCCACTTTGGTAGAAATGTGTTTAGGTGTAGAGGCGGATGCTAATACACCATTGCCACCTATAGTCTGTGAATGTGTGATCCAGGTGAAGGGAAAAGCTAAGAAAAGTGAACATTTGACCAGCAATGGCTTAGCACTAACTTGAATATAATTCACCAGTGGATATATATCTAGCCCTTAATCACTTTTGGGAAGACAAGGAAAAAAAAGAGAAGAAATTTGCCCATAGTTCAGTTGTAAAGGGAATTGAAAAAAAACTTGAACTTAATAGTCAAATGCACAGATTATACCACAGAATTGCTATCATCATCTGTGTACTGTGGAGACTTTATCTAATGTTTTTATTTTATTTTTTAGAGTACTCACAACTGTTAAAAGGAGCAGCTCCACATCAGTTCACACTACAACACTTCAAAATTCCAATCCTGTTCTTACTCCATCCAACATTGGCTCAAGGCATCAAGAAAAACCCTGTCATGGACAAACAGCTGCACTCCTAAAAGAGTCCAACAAGTAAGATTACTTAACTTCAAATTTATATTGAAATCACTGTGTATATATATATATATATATATATATATATATATATATATATATATATATATATATATATATATATATATATATATATATATATATATATATATATATATATATATATATATATATATTAGATGTGAGGATACAAGATAATTGGAAAAACAAGGAGAAGAGATGTATGTGAATGTCACTTATAAGGAAAAGTGATTAAAAGAAGGCAGAAGTACAGAAAATTTGAAGGAAAGTAGAAGATTGTGTAATAATACAAAGATGAGCAGATAAATGATGGAAAGGCTGTTACATACATGGTTTTAAAGATAACAAGAATCTGTTCTGGAGGACACTGTATTGGCTGAAAAACCAAGACCAACAAATGGAAATGGCAGTTGAGAGTGAAAGAGAGGCTTTACAGTATTTCAGTAATAGAGTCAGTACAAGAGCAGAGTGAATATTTTCAACATCTGGTAAATATAACAAATGAGAGTGAGGTGGAATTATCCTTTTGGGATCATGTTAATTGGAAGAAATAAAGACGGGTAAAGGAGGAGGTATGACTGCCTTTAAAGCTCAAGAGCAGTAAGGTGGCAGTAGTGGATAGAATCACAATTGGAAGTGGAAAGGTGATGACATGAGTGTGCAGACTAGAATGGATGAAATAGTGTATGGGATTTGAATGAAAGAGATTGAAACCTGTACTGTACAGTAGTAGATATGGAAATTGGAAGGAAGTGTTTTGATAAAGTCAAGACAATAAGCTAAGGTAGTATGGACATGAAGAAGTGATGGGAAAAATGATTAGGTATAAAGAGGGATTTATGTGAGACAAGTGGAACTAGTGTAAAGAGAGTCCCTTGGTTAGAGAGCACTGGCTGAGGGAGTAAGTTTGAGAAGATGCAGCAAACATGTGTCATCATATACAGTAGAAATATGGATTAATTAATGCATTATTATTCTTTCTATTGCAGTTAGTAGTGTTTTAGATATTGATAAATGGTACTGTATCTCCATTGACAGATACTTCTAGGTGTATACTTATATCTTTGAGAAAGTTAAAGAATGCTAATGCCAAAAATTGACATATAGGAACCTCTTAACTGTTGGTAGAGTATACTAAATGACCTCTTTATTGCATATCCAGCAGATTAACCAATACTGAGTCTTTAACAAGTACAGTGCTGTAGCATTAGTACCTATAGCCCCCAAGTATTTAAGACATGTGTAGACATTAAACATTTTCCTAAATTGATAACTACTGTGGTGTTAATTTTGCAAAATTTCATGTCTATTACAGAAACCTTATAGGCTGTTTGTGTTTAGCCGAGGTCCAGTCAGCAACACCATCAGTGGATCAGTTGTGGGTATTGAGGATCACAGTCATACGAAGGCATCCTCTATCAAGCTTTCCACCAAGGGACAGCAGGCATCAAGCGCAAAAGTGTTTGCTTGCAGAGTTAAATTCTGTAGTAAGTAATGAGTTACACTGACTAAAATTTTCAGTCCATATTGCAATATGTAATTGTCATAATTTCAATTTAGGAAAATATTTTTCCTGGTTGAAAAACTTTTGTACTGTACTTTTACTCAACTCTTATAGTTTAAAAGTAATGTTAATTTATAGACCTACAACTCCAAATGAAGACAAAATTTGATTCTTTTTTTTGTTGGGTTTAAGTACTATACAGAATTCTTTTACATTAATTTATTGTTTTTGTTTCCTGAAAAATGACCTCACTGTGATTGGAGCTCAGCTATTAGTACATGTAGTACTTATATCATCTTGTGGATTTTAGTGAGAGGTGTGTACATATCTGTTATCATATTTGAAAAGAAATTGTGTACAGCACAGTTTTAGAAAAAAATTATTTATTTTCCAGGATGGTATAATTGAGAATTTACGTCGAGTAAGTTGAGATTCGTGCATTGCCTATTACCTCAACACAACGCTGGACTGTGTGATCCAAAGGGTTCCCTGATGATGCCCAACAAGACCAATAATTCTAGTGAAGATATTCTTCTGAATGTGCCTCTTGTTAAGCTACTAGAGTATGTGCAGTAAAACAGTTTTCATCTTACGCAATATATCATTGAATATATCATATTGAATTTGCTTCATTTGTTAAAGAAATTTCCAGTAGAATTTGTGAATGACTCTTACTAATGTGTTCCTACCATAGCTACAGTACTTAGGCCACTCAGTGCCTAATGTGGTCTGGTCCATATAGACTTACGTACAATATACAGTAATAAAAACTAAGCTTACAAGGACAGTACGGTTTTTGCCAAATGAGGGAGCAAGGGTTTTTCCACAGCTAGACAGAGTTGGTCAGTTACTGGCCATTATGTACTCAGGGTTAGAGGATAAATATTTAAGATGGTAATACTGTACCTGTACATTCTTCCCGCCAGAATGTCTGTTTACTAGTTTGGAAACAGTTTAGTTAGTCTTATTCTTGCAATGTAAAAAGTAGTTCCTCTACCACATTAACAGCTTCCACCATGCATTACTTTTGAAAAGTATTACAAAATAATCTTTTCTTTGTTA